GAATTAGATTATACTTATTATTCTTATCATATTATAATCAATAAAAGCTACAAAGAAGGGAATCTGAATCTCAAACTCAAAAATTATACAGTTGGATCATAAGATACCAAGAATATAGAATCTAATTACAAATCTTGCGATAGATTTAAGAATATCTCTGAATCATTATTTATTTCAGTTGATTTATTAATATTATTAAATAAAATAATCACAAACTCAATAAAGGTATACTTATTAATACTAGAATAAACAAAAATTGGAATATTATACTTTAATAAAGATAAATATAGAAATATCCGATAAGTGATTGATGATTTATTAAAACTAACAAAGGAAAACAATAAAAAAATAGAGATTATCTTATCTAAGATTACTTTAATTTCTAATTCTATATTATTGGATTTGACTATATTATCTTATAAAACTTTATTATCTATAGTATCTGTATTTACATCTACTTTAATATTATCAAATTCAAGGTATAATTTTAGAAAAAGAAAGAGAAATAATAACAATAATATGGAAGGATATACCTCCAAGATTATCCGGTTTCTACTTGTCTTTTTAAATAAGCCAATGTCAGAATCAATCGAGTATGTTATAATTTGCGATCCCAAATATTCATCAATTCGAGATAAAAACGAATGATGAAATTGCTTCCAGGATTTTGACTCTTTTGGAGAATATATCAATAGAGATTAAAACCGCTTTATTAGTAATATAAATACTAGGGATCAGGATATTAAATATATATAAAGATGCAATAGTAGATAAGAAGTATACAAAGATTAGTAAGCTGTAATTTAAGAAGAAGTAGACTTATTAATCAAAAATAACATTTAAAAAGAATTTATTTTATTATAAGGAAACAATCTAATTTTAACAAAATAAATATTTACTATCAAAACAAAAGATAATAAGATAAAGCGATTTAAAGCCAGATTGGTGGCTAAAAGATTTAGTCAAGTTTTAAATAAAGATTATAATAAAACCTTCATTTCTACAATTCGATTCGATACTCTTTGCCTTTTTCTTATAATTGTTATAAAAAAAGATCTTGAATGTTTTCATTTCGATATCAAAAATGTATTCACCGAATCACATTTGAAAGAAGAAATCTATTTAGCGCCTTCTCAAGGTGTTCAAGTTTGTTATGATTGTATTCTATATGCATTTTGGAGTCTTTATAGGCTAAAGCAAATTGGTAGAAATTGGAGTCTTTTTCTAAAAGAAGAATTAATCAAGATGGGTTTTATACAAAACCTTTCAAACCCATATTTATATATTAATTATTTACAATAATTATTTCTTTTAATTTATATAAATAATATTATTATTATTATTATTATACAAAAACAAGATATTAAATGGTTTTATTATAACCTTTTAACTTAATTCAATATTAAAGATCTGGGGGAGATTAGTAAGATTTTAGGAGTGTGTATTATTTGTAATAGATCTGAAAGAGTGTTAACTATAAATCAAAAAAAGTATCTGGATACAATGCTTATCCGTTTCGGGATTTCCTATGGTCAATACATTTCAAGGAAGATATTAATTTCGAATTATAATTAATTACAATCAATGCTTCTAGATAATGAGCTTATTGATATAAACGAATATCAACAAGTAATTGGCAGTACAATCTATTTTATGGTTTATATTAAATCGGATATTGTATTCAGTCTTAGAAGATTAATACAAGCTATATCGAATCCTGCCAAACATTATAGTGTTGTATTTAAAAACCTTATAAGATATTTGAGGTCGATTATCAAATAGAAATTATGTTTTGGGCCTGGGGAAATTCAATCAGATATTTGTAAAGAATATAACCTCTTATAATGGATTATCAAAGTATATATTGATGTAGACTGGGTAAGTGATAGAATCAATTGAAAAAGTATTTTTAATGGAGTAGTAATATTCTATAATAAATCAATTTTATAGATAAACAAGAAGTAGATATTTATAACTATATTTAGTATAGAAGCTGAATATATTTCTATAATAATATTCACCAAATAAAAGTAATGGATAGCTCAATTTTTAAGAGACTTAAAGCGATTATAATATATCAAAAACAATAACGAAGTTCAAATATTTGGAGATAATTAAGGAGTACTAGTATTAATCAAGAATCGATATCTATATAAGTGATCAAAGCATATTAACATATATTATTATTTTATTCGGGATTTTATAGAAAAATGTTTAGTCAATATTAGCTATATCAATATAAGTGATATGGCTACAGATGGATTAACAAAACTATATACGAGAATAATATTTAAGAGATTTAAGAATATGCTAGAGCTTCAAAACTAACTATAGAAGCTAAAAGAGTATACTCTCTGAAGGAGTATTGGAAGTTGTGGTACATATGCTACGCTACTATGTATATATCATTTCTACTTCATAGTTAGATTTTACCTTAGTATTATTAATCTATATAGTCAATATTACATGCATTCCACTGGCCTGCTCCTTTATTGTGAACATTAATGTATAATCATATTTGTTTCTGGTAGGGGTGATTAATGATATTCAGGAGGCATTCTAGTCCCCGCCACGCGTTAATCGCCTCAGCGTCAAAAACATGCGACTGTTCGCGTACACGGCCGTAGCCGCTGTCGATCTGTTGCTATATCAATTTATATAGGATAATACTTTTATATATTGTGCTTATAAGATATTAGATTAGTTTTGGGAAAAGAGTATTTCTTTAGTTGATCTTTGGCTTTCTTATAGTCTCGAGTTCAATTTTATAGAGTATATCTGGTGGTATTTAAAAGTATATATTTTTGAAATGTTTTTAGATATTGTAATGAATAAAAGCAAATCAAAATATATTAAATAAAAGCTAGAGGAATACTCTGCAAATAGTTTGGGATATATTGAATAATAATTTATTTATAAATTTGGGAGCAAATATAGGGAACAGAATAAAGACCTATATTACAGCAGATAATTGGTATACTAATATTATTTATTTATTTATTTATTTATAGTGATTAATGTCTAATATCTGACCTCCCAAAGGGTTATTCTAGATATACTAAGAAGTGGGCTTATAGATCGCTAGCATTTTAGTTGCTTATAGTAGTGTAATATTAGCTAATTAGAGGCTTATTATTTTTGATATTTTCTGTTTAGTATTGCTTGTAGCGATCTTATAGTTGTTTTGTTTAAAGGTTTGTGATTTTGTTTCAAAAGGTTTTGTTTTGTATATTATTTAGGTGTGGGTGGATAATTAGATTGATTATTATTGATTAGAAAAATGCTTAAAATGCTTATAGTTGGTTGATGTGGGTTTTAGGTTGATTAGGGTGGAGAGTTTATTCTTGGGGTATTAAAGTAAATTGGAATTTGTATAATTTTGTATAATTTGAATATATTCTAATATAAAATTTGGATTTAGTAAGAAGATCAATAAAGCTATATTGTATTTACAGGATGTAATGATATATATTATTATATTTCCATTTAGATCGAAATCGATTTGATACAAGTGATTAATTGCTGTATATTTGATTATTGATTGAATATTGAAAGAAGTATAATGGGCTTTCTCAATCCTGTATATATAGATGTTTATGTTATTTTTGTGATTAAATTTGATGTGATAGGCTGTAAAATCATTATATTCAATCTATATCGTTATAAATCTATGTAGTATCTTATAAGAAAGCTGAAGCTTTCTGGTTTTGAGGTATTATATATTGGTTTCTATGTATTGTATGTTTTAGAGATTAGGCCTTTTTTTTCCTTTTATTATTTATTCTTAGAGTACTGATACTTAGTAGTATAGAATAAAGCGGGAGCTGCTGGATTATAGAGAAATAGGATAGGCTAGGGTTAAGCAATCTAGTTATATTTTTAATCAATAAGACGATTGGTTTATCTTGGTGCCTTTAATCTTAATATATTTAGGGAATCATTTGATTATACTATCGGAGTATTATATTATTTGATAATACTTATAATAATATTTATTAAAAGGAGGCAGTAGTGTTTTCCTTATATTCCCCAGATTACGAAGTGCTATCAATATATAATCATATTTGTTTCTGATAAAGGCGATCAAATAATACTCAGGCGGCATTCTAGTCCCCTACCACACGCTGATTGCCTCAGTATCAAAAAACATATGACTGTTTATGTATACAGCCATAGCCACTGTCGATCTGTTGCTTGCCGCGATAGATTGCAAAGCCGTACCCCACGCGGTGACCGTGTTCATTGTATTGTTCAGACCCGTCTGAAAACACAGAGTAGTCTTCTTAAGGGTTAAATCCCACCATTCCCTTGAATGCTTTCGCGGCGTCCTCTTTGTCCATACCATTCGTTGGATATACTAAATATTAGGAAGATTGTATTATAATATTTCAATGAAACTTTATATTATTAATATATATATATAGATTAAGAATATGTTCAAATTTTAAAATAAAATATTGAATAATTGATTTAATAATAATGATTGAATTGAATATTGATGTTAATGAATTCTGGGTAAAATCCGGCCGGCTAGTAGCAGTGCGTTAGTACTGTATATCCCGGAATACCGTGATTTACGCCTATGCATCAGGTCTCGCATAGGGATAGGTTTGAAGCTGAAACCGGTTGATGAGTTAAAGTGATTAATAACGTGTATACGCAAGTGCGTACCCTGAGAGCCCTTCGGACGCGTTATGACGTTGCCCCTATCCACCAAGGGGGTTGTAGATCGTCTTATCGGGTTCAATCTACGCTGGGGGGGAAGATGGTGTGAAACAAGTTACCGTATCAAATTGACCCAATACTTCAAACGTTTAAATTCACCTTTTAATATCTTACGACCTTCAGAATGAATAAATTCCCAGAAATCCTAGCGACAGTTTATTCCATTTCATCATCTCAAGAATTGTTTTTGTGGGGGGGATGGGTGTATCTTGGTTGTTATCCGCCAATGGAAACGGTCCACAAGCAAACTGAAGTCTCCCTGAGCATGAAGGGGAAACAACATAGCCGCCTACCCTCGATCGCAATTTGCAAACATCACCGTCACATATGCCATGGAGTTTGTTATTTATATAATAGTCCACGCAAAAACTCATTAGCACCTATCATAATACAATTCAGGTTATCGAAAACTCAACTCCACACATTAATCATAACTCGGTGTTTTACAATGGCTGGCAGAATCCTCACGTCCACCAGTCAGTGAGTGTCTCATGCCCATTAAAGTGGAACAATTCCACTTGGAGACAGAACTTGTGGTCTCTTCGCAGTAATCACATGGTTCCCTAAAATACCTGCTCGGAAGCCTGCTTCGCAATAACTAAAGTAACCCTAGAACAAACATTAATAACGGTTGACTTCTTGCTATGAATATTTAACACTTACAATCCACCTTCTTTGAAAAGTTTCAAGATCTAACAGCGTCATGTCTCCTCTTTCTTTCATGTACAAAAGTTTAGTCTCATCCCAGTTCTGGATAAAGTTTTCCCTCCATAAACGCAAAGTTCGCACATAATGAGGACCTATACTTTGCACACTTTCAAGCTCTAGAGACCCAGTAGATCCCGCTTCAAGACGTTCAATAATCTCTCTTACGGTGGGGAGATATCCTCCTGGGAAAATGTAACGCTCCATAAAAGTGTCGATCTTGGATCGAGTTTGGTGGAAGGCCTGTTGGATATTTAATCAACGTACTGATTTCAAAGAATGAAAATTGGACTCTTGAAGATTTTAACCACCATAGCCAACTCAAGTGGCTTGGATTGGACGAGTCGAAGGGTATGTGAACTGACCTGATTCGTTTCGGTTGTACTTTGTATTACCATGATTCCATTTTCTTTGTTCAACAATTCGCTAATCGTCCTAAAATAGGCCTCCATGTACTCCTCCCCAACATGTTCCACCATTTCGACACTGATTATTCTATCAAACCCCGCAGGACTAGGCTTGGGAGTCTGCCTATAATCGCAAAGCAATATCTCAATTCGATCTTTCATTCCCGCCTCTTCTACCCTTTTCTCGCCCAGAGTTTTTTGCTCAATTGACAGAGTTGTCACCGTGAATCTACATCCAGTTTTCTTCACAGCTTCGATAGCTAGATAAGCCCATCCGCCTCCAATTTCGAGGATGTGATGTTCTGGCTTGATATCCGCTTTATCAATAATATTATGCACTTTTCGTCTCTGTGCTTCCTCGAGAGTCTCTTCTTTACCAGTGGTATCCCATATTGGACATGAGTAACTCATGTCTGGGGATAGAAATGATGAGAAAAGTGCGTTCGAGGTATCGTAATGGGATGATGCGTTCTGGAGAGCGCGTCGACTATCATTTGAGGGTCTGAAGAAGAATTTTTGAATACGGGGAATTATCTGCAGAAAGATATTACCAGTTCCAAAAAGTGCGTAATTTTGTATGTATATCTGTGGTTTTCTATTGTGAGCCCAGATAATTTAAGCTTGATGGGGTTGAAATCAGAAGCCCACATACGGAAACAAGAGCAACAAGATCATCACACTCCAATTCTCCTGCCATGAACGCCTCAGAAAACCCCTCGAGAATCTGATTAGTACCTGCGACAATAATTCAATCATGTTCAATGAGGCTCACCAAATCAACATTGATAGACATTCGAGTCCAAACTTTGGGACTATTAATGATAACTGAGCATTTGGGTTCGCTTGAATCGATCGACTCTAACGATGTGTTACCGAAAATTCTTGGTTTCGTCTCATTCTGATCTTTCATTGTGATGTATAGTCTTCCATATTTAATGCTAGAGAGTTTTTCAAAGATGAACGAACGATTGAATGAAGAGAAGTGGGAAATAATTGAATTTTCCATTATCGTTATTGCTAAAAAAAAAAAAGTGTGTACCGTTGAGTTTCAAAGATTATTATCAGTATTGAAGAGAGTGAGAGGGAAACTAGACGATTTCAGTGCGGTTGATATCTATAATAAGAAAATGAATTTTGTGTCTTAGATAGATTGCGCAACAGGTACCTGCAAAGCAGGAGTATTTGCTTGTAGATAATCTGCTGATCACTGCTTGCAAGGCAGATTATTGGAAAGTTCAAATAAATGATCTGCAGGCATATCTAAGGTTAAAGCCTATTTTTTATTGACCCAAGCTTAGATTTATAAAAGATTTATAAAAGATTTATACTTGATTATACTTGATTTATACAGATGTGTTATATTACGAAGCAGATGATAGATTATAGATAATGTGCAGAATAGGTAGGGACTTGGGAAGGTGGGAAACAATTTGACGATTGATGTATCATACAAATCTGGTAACCTAGATTCGACGTGCGAAATGAAATACATAGGTATGACTCGGTTACTCTTAATTTAAGTCCTTTCAGCTTGTGTCAATCTCTAGATCCCGTCTGATTTTTAAGGCTAGTTCATAGTCTGCAAAAATCAGTACCACCTCTGTTCAGCTCTCCAATCTCTATCAGCCTTTGCGGTTGTTCCTATCACAGCGACAGCAGGCAAAATCGTAATGTCAATTACCAAATGCCCCGAAAGTATAAAGATCTCCGCAGCAGTCCTGATGACCACCGGAGTCAGCTTAATGTCTCACCTAAACATCGAATCAAACGATGCGAACATGCAGCAGGTATAATAGGTCTTCCTCATCTCCCATAACACACACATCCTTCATCAAGTGAGCTCCGAGTGAAGAAGAAAACTTCCTCAAACCAATGGTGAATATTGTTACATCAGCTACTGAGTGGCTATGTATTCATACCAATGGATACTTTGGATCTCCTTCAACCTCTCAGATTACAGAGTAATCACATAACTGCATGGTTCGAAGCCCCGACTTGAGCCTGTTACAAAACTTTAATAAGCAGCGTTCTTAAATTTTGCGATGAAACTTATTTACCAATGGATGTTATCAAGAGAATCACTCGGTAGAATGTTTTATTTAATCACTCGTAATCAATTCAGAGCTCATTCTCAACATTTTGAATGAGCAAGATGATCTGGGGAGTAGATGAATTATTGGTACCCGAAAAGTTCCCGAAAAGTCCCCGATAACACAGCATAAACTATCCGAATAGACCACCGACAAAGTTACCATTCTCAACCATCAAAATGTGTCATATTAGTCGAATCTTTTGTGTCCGAAATGTTTCCAGCTCTGAATATAAGGACCAATTGCAAAGCCATTTCATATACTGTGATCTAATTTCATTGAAAACAATCAACGAATATTTAAGTAAATCATTCTAAACAATTGAAAGACACATTGCAATCCGTGGCTTCGACTCACCTTACTATGTCTCCAAAGTCACTTGTAGACGTCCTGATCATTGGAGCCGGTCCAGCCGGAATATCTTGCGCCGCCGCTCTTGCGCGGCTTCGTCATACCGCTATCGTATTTTTCAGCAATAAATTCCGGAACGAAAAGTCTAAGCACATGCACACAGTCTCTACATGGGATCATCGAGATCCTTCGGAATTTCGCGCTGCTTCTTGAGAGGATATTCTGGCCAGGTACAAGACCATATGTTTTGAAGACGTGGGCATTCAAACTATAGAGAAGATATCCAAGGATGGAGAGGGGGAGGGGAGTGGTATTTTCAAGGCAATCGATGATACTGGAAAAGATTGGTGGGGAAGAAAAAACTCGTTCTTGCTACTGGTGTGAAAGATATGCATGGTAGATATCTAAGGCTATGAAAAATGCTGGGCTAACAGCATGTAAGTGCACTTCGATAACTCTTCCCTGATTGGATGTTTTTCGTCCGAGCTTTTACTTCAATCCATTATCTTTCCATGACTAATATGACTACAGCTTTCACTGTCCTCTATTGCCACGGCTATGAATCGTCTCCTGCAAAGTCGGCTGGTGTACTTGCAATTGGTGACTGTGCTTCACCCCATTTAGCTCTTCATCTAGCTCGTCAGGCACTTCGATTGTCTGAAAATGTCACGATATATACGCACGGAAACGATGCCTTAGCTGAAGAAATAGAAGCTGCAAAAGTTGCGTCAAATCCGAATGACAACTCCAAGTGTCGCAGTAAAATCGAAATCTGCAATTACTCGATTCAGAAATTCATTCCAAATGATGATCCATCGTCTGGTCTCACTGTTTCTTTTCACAAAAATGGTGGGGCGGGGCCGGAAGATCATACACACGCATTCCTGCTTCACAAACCAGTAACCGAGCAGACCAACGATCTTGCTCATCAACTCGGGATCGAATTAACCGAGCAAGGAGATCTTAAGGTCACGGCGCCTTTCAACGAGACAAGTGTAAGAGGGGTGTTTGCAACTGGAGATTGCGCGTCAATGTTAAAGAATGTTGTAGGTGCTATGTATAGTGGGACTTGCGCTGCTACTGGTGTTGGCTCTCAGATTCAAGGAGAAGATTGAACCTTTTTATGTCTCGGAATAGCTGTGTCGCTTGTCAATCTCTCTTTTCTACTTCGCATGTACAGTTTGACTCTCTTGGCAATCTTCAAGGCTGTAAATAGATCGTTGACAATGCCACCTCACTTCTTGTATTGCAATTTATAATGTAGCCTCCGCGCTTTAGCGTGTGAGAACCTCAATTTAACAGTAAATGTATTAGTAATCCTTTTATGTCAATGTGATCCCATAAGCGATAAGCATCATCTTCATTATCAAGCGAGTCTCAATATAGTACGCGAGTCAAATCTCCAGTATTTATAGTACGAAATCTTACAAACCGATGTTAGGGATAAATATGGAAGATGTAATTATAACGAATCTAAATAATCTGAACTCTGAATATCAGCAAGTCTACACCTCTTCTACACCTCCAACGACCCCCTTCACCGGCTCGCTTTTCTCAAGGTGAACCAACATCATCATTCGCTTATTTCAATCATTAAGTATGTCGTGGTAATATTACCTAAATGCCATACAATTCTATTCACCTCTATTTTCTCAAGACCAATCCATTCCCAGAATAGCAAGTAGAAGCTACTTCATTGAGTTAGAAATTTGATAAAGATGTTAGGGACGTTGCTTGATTAGGACGACTGCAATATGCGGTATATAACTATCGGATTCAGGTGCCACTATCATACGTCAAAAAGATAACCATTCGCGAACTCACATACCTTATGAATATAATTATTCACATCATTTACGAATTAATACGGCGAGTGCGACTCTAAGATTTATATCATCTCATGATATTAGATAACTAGAATGATGAATCCTTTCGTACTCAAAACACGCGTCTGGAATTAATCTAAACGATCTCTATCTGCTGCTTTTCCCCTCGAAAAATCATATCCACACTTCAACCATCCACCAATCTTCTCATTCACTACCATATTGCTAACCCCTCTCTAATGCTTACTCATAGCCGCTAATCAATATCTCACCATCGAGAACTATTTAAAGCTTCAATTATACACTCTAGCCTTGAAACCACGCATCAATTCGTAGTAAAAGCGCGCCCCAAGTGTCGAGCTCCTGGGTTTTGTGTTCTAGCTTAGAAGATTGAAAAAAGAAAGATACGGATATTTGCGGTTAGGGATATGCAGAAACAGATGTGGAAAAATGTTTTCAAATGAGATTTTGGATATTGATGCTGTCAAAATTCGAAAAGTCACTATCGTTTACAAACTTAATATGGTAAATAGACGAGATGAGATATAGAACCAGCAGTGTAAAAGTCAGAATTTCTGCCAATATGAAAAATTAATTCAAGTGTTGTTAGCGCGTCGATCTGTGAAACACATCAGTCTCCAGATCTAGTCTCTGCTTGCTTGTCATGTTTACCTAGTCTAAGATGATGTATTTATAAAACTATCAAACCAAAATATTTTCCCTCTTTCGCCAAAAAGTCGGTTGTAAGTTTTAGAGTGAATCTAACCATAAATTACAAAGTCGAGTGCCATCTACCGTTACTACCCCTATATTCTCTCTTTCCCCTCCTCATCCGCGAAATCCTCGTAAAGAAGATACGAGGGTGAATTCCTGTGATTCTAGCTTACCCGTAAGTGTAGATCCCTTTTTCTATAAAAATCCACAATGAGCACTCTCAATATCAACGATTAAGGAAGCAAAAATTCACAAGTTCAAGAACAAGAGAAAATTTGCCAAGGTAGAAGATCAAAGATAGTAATATTTTCCTCATTTCGCGGATTGGAATTTTCGAATCAGGACTTCTCTTTTCATCTCCTGTAGCGGATGAAAGATGCAGGAAGATCAAAGATGAGTTCTAGATGTTTTGTTGTCGATTTTGTAGAGAACAATGATTGTTGTTACAATTGTGCTACAATATTATTATCGATGATTTACAACTCATTTAAGAGGTAACTTTTCGTTGTACACTCTGAATCTACTCTTGAACACCAGCTTAAGCTGAAAAGGGGGGGATAGAGACTATGTGAGAGTATTACTGATGCTCTGAGACCCCGATTTGCTTGTTTGCTTTTTGTGTTTGACTTTTAGATGTCTAGCCCAGGGTAGCTACTCATACAAAAGAGTTGGAAGTCTCATTGCCAAGATGTAGTGATTCCTATTATGTACGGGGATATTTCAGTGAGTTCTGGTATATGTCAAGCTCTACCCTCTGATTCACACATATCTTTTGGCATATTGAACTCATACTCTCCACTCCCTTGATTACCCTCCAGTCCCACTCCGGATTTACACATAAACATTTCTCCTTTTTTATCCCTGCCCCCTCTTCCCCCCTTAAACTTCTCCTCAAACTCTATATAAACCCCTCTACCTACTCCCTCACAAACCCAGATTTAGAATAAGTTCGAAAGCCAAAGTAATAAGGAGCTGTGTGTTACAATCACCCTACGTATCTTATTCGCTTTTATTATTTCCAGAATTATAATCTTGCCTCGATTTCCGATTCAAAAGTTTAGAGGAAGAAAAGAATTGGGAAATAGAGTTGAGGAAAAGAGAATTGTTACCGTCATCTTATTCCTCATATCAAACTTTAATGGTTATTGATTCATCGTATGCATTGTCGCTGGACTTCACTTCCCCACCGCCACATACTAATTCTCATCAAGAACCAAGACACCAGATAAACATTTACATACTTCCTTCCCTTCTCCCTCCCATTCCCTTCATATCTCACCCCAGAGCCCTTTCCCCCAAATCATCTCCTCCCAGTAATCTCTGAATCATACTCAACTGCGAACCCAAAATATAGCGGCAATATTATCTTAAAAGGTTGTGAAACGTTGCATGATAATTTGTATTTTCTCAGAATTAATGAAGTTGGAGATATTTATACACCTATATACTCGTACCTTTAACTCAGGTATCTAGCCGGGGAGAATATAATTAGATTACCTATGTGGATAGAATACGTGGGGGTGTTGATAAATCATGTATATTCATGATGCATGAGAAACCCTCCTCTCCCTTTCTATCTAGTTACCAATTCACCCCCTTACTACCCCCTGCCTCAAACTCAATCCTCAATCCCCAAGATGTCACTTCTCACCTCTCATCTCTCACCTCTCACAAATCCTCTCTATTTAATCCCTCCGTCCGCCGCTCTCAAGATCTTCGAAAAACCACCACCAAGACTCACATACAAATGCATACTGACTCAGGAATCGCTCTCAAATTTATTCTCATCCTCATCCTCATCCTCATCCTCATCCTCATTCTCATCTAAGTTTTAAGTTAACCAAATCATTAGACATGGCGCGCGAGGCGCAAAACACAAGGTACAAGGTACAAGGTACAAGGTAAAAGGTACAAGGTACAAGGTAGTAATGAGATAAACCCTTCACGATTTCCATAACCTTAAACGACAATCCCAACATCCGAAAATAAACAACAGCAACGGTGGAACATATCACCAATCTATCGACAACAAATTCTCGAAATCAAATTCTCGAAATCAAACCCTCTTTCTTCCATTCATCTCCCTTCCTTCAAAAATCAATTCAAAACATCTGCATCCTCAATTCTTCATATTCACTGCCATTTTCACATTACTTCCGGATCCGAGAATTGCCCATTTCTGTCTTTAGTTATCATCATCTGTCAATCTTCGCAAGACCTACCTACCTGGATAGATATTGATATTGCTAAAGACATTGACGATAATCATGTATGGATTTACCATCGACTTCTATTTTTGAAGAAAAAAAACACCCAAAGAAAAATTCATATCTCATTATTCATCTTCTCTTCAAAAGCGGTATCTACATAATTCCCCTCCTAGATTTAAATCCCGTAAACATCCAATGCATGTTCATTAATATACGCAATTCCCTCTTTCCTGTACGTATCATCCTCAGTATAACTACCCGTGACATTGAACACCAAGTTCTTTTCCCCTTCCGTGGTATTTCCCGCATAATTGGGCCAGCTCACTCCAGTCTCCCCATTCGGAACCCCATGGACAATAAATCCTACCCATCTCTGACTCATTTCTTGAGCCAGGTCAAAGTAGTTCTGGGTTTTATTCGCGAATGGATTGACCGCGACTAAAGTATCATATCCAAGTCCTTGAGTATTATTAAAAACAAATGGTATCTCCTGGAAATGTGTCGCTCCAGTAGAAGCCGGTACACCATTTACGAGAACATCGAATCTATAGGTATAGACAGGCACACCGAACTTGGTCCAAGAATGGGCGGTAAGACGTCGAGGCGCTTGCATGGTGAGATCTCCTATGTAAGCGCAAACACGACGGTACTGAAGGCCGACTTTTGCTGTTAATGGGTTCTCGGGTGTGTAAAGCTCGGGATACATTTCGAGACTTGGAATGCCGACAATTTGATCATTTGGGTAGAGTTTCTGAATCTCCAAATTGGCATCGGAACCGGTGAGCAATCCGAGGCTGTTTAGCATGTCTGAGAATTCAGAGTCGCTGTTGACTCCAGTACCATTGGGTCCATAGCCGGATCCAAAGGCCGTTCCTTCATCGGTATTCGTACCAATGAGATATGGAACTCTGACGAAATTTCCAGAGGAAAGTTGTTTGCTGGGATAATCGGCGATGAAATCATTGTCGAGGTATGCGAAGAAAGGACCAATGCCACCAGCTGTTGTGTTAAGTGCTGCATTCATCTCTGAAAAGGGAAGTTTACGAAGACATTCCAAGGAATCTGTAGAGGTGGTGTTGAGACCGAGAAGATCTGCACAAGTTGTGTTTGCGACGACGGATGTGAAGAGTTTTTGGGGTGTTGTGGAGTTATAGACACCGGGGTAATCATTTGGGAAAAAGGGAACTGCTGGACCACCCGATTCAGAAATTGCGGCGCGGAATAAACCATCATCTCGTCCTATTTATTGTTAGTAAGTGGTCAAGTAGAAGAAGGAGTCGAGGAATCAATAGAGGAACAAACCATTGTAAGCCAATATTTGAGCACCAACACTGGCAGCTCCAGCGCTTTCACCCCAAATAGTAA